TTAAATGACAGCAAGACAAAACCAGACTCATCCATCAAATCCCACAGCAGCACGCTGCTGATGCAGCCCTCTGATGGACGCCACAAGAACAAAAACACACACACACTGGAAAAGTTGTTATTAAGGAAGAATTTGGTATTCTGTTCTGTGATGTTTTTCTAAAGTTGTAGTATTTCTGTGCTCCAGGAACCAGGATTGAAGATTGATGGAAAGAATAGTATGCAGCAGCAAAAATGTTGATGTGCACATAGCTACTGCCAAAGAAATTACAACTTCAAACTAAAACGTTGGTAAAAGAAAGCATCAGTCAGAGAAAAGGGTATTTTTTCTGTTGCTGCTAATAAATTATTAAATTCTAAAGTGTTTTAAATATGATAAATGAAATATAAATTTAATATTGAGACCAAAAAAGGTAATCAGAGTTAAAAAGACTACTTTTATACTATTTTAGCCTTTACTTTTTATATGTGTGCTATTAACGAAGGAGAAAGAAAAGTAGGGCAGAGAGTCAGATTAGGGAAAAAAGAGCAGTTTCTAGGACAGATCAGCTTCAGCATTTTCTCGCATAACAAGAAGTTTACACTAATCTACATAAACAAGGTAACTTTATGAATACATTAGAGAAGTATCACCAAGATAAAAAAAAAAGTAGTGTTTTTTGGAGAGACAAATGCAAACCAAACATGACAAACACCAGAAGAAAAGCAAACCTCAAAAGCCTTAAAGCAACATTAAATGATAGACCCAGGGAATGGATCACGAACAGAAGTAGGTCATAAAATAGGGTAAGGAAGACAAAGTTAAAGCGAATAAAGTAAGAGAAAATAGGAAAGCAGTAAAATCACACAGCAGCAGTGGAATCTGTACAGAGTTCTCCAAGTTTGTGGTTTGAACGGAACGATTTTTACGAGAGGGTTTTTCCACAGCATGACTCACTACACTCGCCTACAATCCTGCTTTTTTCCAGCCTTTCTCACTTCATACAAATACACCATATGCATCTTTTGTGCCAAACTGTAATATTAATTAAAAACATCTTAACAGTACTACAGCTGCAAGAAATAGTTTGTGCAAAAATGGAAAAAGTAAAATGGACATGATCACATTTTCCATTAAGACTTTAGCGTAATTAAACTGAATTATAAATGATTTACTATCTTTCTCAACCTGAAAATTTTTAAAATAACAACTTAAGCCTTTTGTTTTGCTTCAATGCTAAATGTATGCAGATTGATGCTGTACCTTGATGGTGGAGGAGGCGTAGAGCATGTCCTCCAGGCTGAAGTGACAGCAGCTGCTCAGGTTGTCTTTGCAGAAGTCCTGTATGAGCTGCAGGTTGTAGAGACGGTCAGCCAGACTCATGCTCTCCTTCAGACACACGTCTATGAGGGCAGAGAGAGCCATCAGCTGTCAGAGAGCCTGATGATGCAGGGTTTCTTTTTACTGCACTGATAGATGAACAATGTCTATTGTTTTTTCTCCCAGACACAGCGGAGTTGATTGTTGTAAACATTTTTGAGAGTCTTAAATAATAAGACTTTGGGCTTAAGTAATGGGTGGAGCTGTGACCTGATTTATTCAAGAGAAAACAAAGTCTGAATGAGCCTTTGCCCTTTGATCCTCTTTCAGGTAAGGAAATGACTGTTTACACACAGAAGATAAAGTACTTCATCCTTAAATTGAATGCTAAATGATCTAATGCTGTCATAGCATCTTCATTTGCAAAAGACCTTTAGTCGGTATACCTCTTCTTTCTACGACCAAAATAATTCAAAATGTGTTCACTGAAATAGGGGGGAGTTGCGAGCTGTTAAAATAAATTATCTTGCTGCAGACAATCAAGCTTTCTGTTTTTTTACTGTCATAAAACCCGCCACTTGCAGACTGTCACCCTCTCGCCTCCTTACCGTCCAGTGACAGCAGCTGAGGGCAGTAGAAATGCAGCAGTGCGCCCAGAGCGGAGCCATCTGTGCTGTCCTTAAGCAGGTTGTCCACTGGAGGGATCCATGGAGCCGGCTGTGTGGAGGCCTGCTCTTTCCTATAGCGAGCCTGAACGACATACACACAGATATAAACCCACGTCTGCTGCAGTGCAGTATCATGCTTAGATTTGAGATAGTTTAAACCCAGACTAAACTTGCTGTTTCTGTTTTTCACACATTAAATAGGAGACAAAGTAAAGTACAATTAATGGAGCGACCTGCCCAACAGGGGGGCTTTTATTAGATCTTTAAAGAAGTAGCAGAAATTAGAGAGAACTGTGTGAATTTACAGGATGTATTCATGCATGAGGCTAATTAGATTGCTGTGGAGATAGAGTGGGAAATTGTTCTGAGAGCAAAATAGGAAAACCAAAAGAGAGCACAGCTGTTTTTTAAATGACTTTTACAGCAGTATTTTGTTAACCTAAAATTTTGACCCTGTGAAATGAATAAAACACATCAGTGCTTCTCTTTATTCTCTCAACTGTCTTTAACCATATTGATTTAAAACACTACAAAAGTCTAGAACTGCACTCATGGGAACACTTAGCAGTTTTCCAATATATCATATACAGAAGGTAAAAACGATGTGAGAAAATAAATCCAACATTGTCAGATGCAATCAACAAAATTAGGCTTAGCTGATTTTACCTAACATAGAACAATGTACAGCAGAATCTAAAGGAACTTTAATAACAATCAGAATATTTATGTCATCCATCTAATAAGCACAAAATCACAATTACATGTTAATAAGAAGAATGAAAGAAATTCTACATAAATAAAAGGGCTGCAAAGATCCAAAAACCAGACTTCTAAATACATTATATAAAAACACACAGATATTTTCTGGATAGTAGGTTATTTTACTTTACTATCTTACTACTACTAATGTTATATACTAGGGATGCACGATATAATC